TAACTCTAACAACCACATAGCGGTCTCCAGAGGCACAGATCATGCTTGAACACTACCATACCCTTGGTCCCGCAATAGAGCGTCCAAAAATCCTCGGACTCACGGCATCACCTATCTTCAACGTCAAGAATCCCATCGATGCGCTGCAAAAGATCGAGAGGCTGACAGACTCCAAAGTGTTTGTGGTCAAGCAAAATTCCGAAGACCTCGTGCGCTTCACATTTCAAGCCAAAGACATCATTATCGACTATCCTCGAACACCATCCGTATTTCCCCTGTACGCAAAGCCGTCCCTCTGGCAAGAACTCCACGACAAACGCCTCTTGCCAAATGACCTCTTGTTTCCACATAAACCCTTGAATTTCGATAGCATAGACACCAGATGGTACAGAGAGCTTAAAGCTCGATATGAATCGAGTCTTTCTGCGTTAGGTCCATTCGCAGCAGACGTGTTTCTCCTGGTTCATATGACGAGCGACCTGAATTCAATCAATGAAAATTTGCCCCTTTCATATACAGATACTCCGGACAAATATGACAAAATACGCGTACCAATGAAGCAATCCTTCGATGTCCTCGCCCGACACCAAGAGCGCTTAGCCACTGACGGTGCAGTCATTCCTAATGAATGGCTCTCACCGAAAATGATTGCACTAAAAAATTTGCTCGCCAACCAAGACCCAATGACTCTTCGGGGTATGATATTTGTCCAAGAACGTCAATTCGCGACAACGATCTCGTTGATATTGCCTCGTCTCGGCCTCCCAGGAGTCAAAAGTGGCCCTCTCGTTGGACATGGTCAGAATATATGCTCGGAGCCGACGAAAGTTGGTATGCAAGGGATGTCTTTTCGTGCTCAAGAACATATATTAGAAGACTTCCGCAAAGGGAATCTCAATCTTCTCATCGCCACTTCCGTGGCGGAGGAAGGATTGGATTTCCCGGAGTGTTCACTCGTGTGCCGGTTCGATCCACCTAAGACATTGCCTCAATATATTCAAAGTCGAGGACGAGCCAGAATGGAGAATTCTTCCTTCGTGATCTTGTTGGAAGAAGGTCCATCGTTGGATCGAGGGAGATTAGAGGCCTTACAATTAGGCGAGGTCAAAGTGAAGCATATGTATGGGAGGAAGATGGAAATTGATGGAGAAGACCTTGAACCCGAGATTGAAGATATTTCTTCATTGTCCGAAAGTCGATACGTTGTACCG